GGCACGCACGCAAGCCCATAGGCTTCGGATTTGACTTGGCTTTCAGAATTCAATATGCGCCGCCTAGATTTCAATGTTGACGCGCTCATCGAACAATGCGTCAAAGCCGGCAATGCAACGGCCTGCACCCTGTTCAAGAAACGATGACTTGCCCCGCTGCGCTAACTATGCCCGCTTATCAAGGCTTTGGGAACATCGAACAGGTCGTTCCTCGCGAAGCTGGACAATGGCAAGGCTGTTGTCGCCCGGCTGCCCTTCCCTGTAGCGGGGCCAACGCGCCTAACTACGGCGAGCGAAGTAGCAACACTCGAATTTGTTAGATTACGGCTGGATACCCCTACTCCCCTGGTGCTTAATTACTGCGTCGATGCTGCCGCAACTGACGTGGGATCGGAGTTCATCATCATGGAAAAGGTTCCAGGAGTTGAACTGTTCTCGAGGTGGAATGACGATGTCCCCAGTGATGACTTCCGAGTCGGCCAACTCATACGTGACCTTGTCAAAACACAGAGAAGATGGGTCAACGCAGCCTTGCCTTATATTGGGAGCCTTAGTACTTCGCGCGAGACTTGCCTCCGGCCATACGCTCTGTGGGACTGCCTGATCATGTCCCGTGTCATGCGCAATGGGGGCACTTCGTCATAGGCTCCAGCGTAGCGCGCAAATTCTGGAGAGGTGGCCGTGCACAACTCTCTGTCGATCGTGGACGTACGTGATATTCAGTGCAAGCTGTAGCACTTCACCTGACCCATTAGCAGGGAACGACTTACGCTCGGAGATAAGTGCCGCTCTCCAGTGCAAGATCGAATGGCTCAAGCGGTTCGCACGCCCATACCCACGCCATAGTCCTCTCTACCGAAATGAACGAGATAACTCGCCCGAAACTCATATCAACGTCCTACAGCGCTGTCTCCAGGTTATTCCCTTCCTCCCAGACCCTCCGGAATATTCCACGTTTTGCGTCTGGCATCCAGACCTGCAAGCGTCGAACATTATGATCGACGAGACTGGTCCTCTGACTCCGAGGTACTACCTTGACTGGCAGTTAGCCACCATTGACGCCCTCCTCGAAGTCTCCGTGCCTCCATTCTTGGAATACGGAGGGAACAAGTACGTCGAAGCCGAGTACGGATCCTCGTCTATGCCCGACCTTCCAGCCGAATTCGACCAGCTTCCTGAGGCCGAGCAATTGGTCGCAAAGAAGGAACGGCGCCTCACTACACGCTCAAACTACTATAATTTTGTCACGGAACGGTGGAACCCTGCGCTGCATGCAGCAGATTTCTCGTGATGGAGTGCGTGGTTCCATATCCTGCTTGAGTATCCACAACATACGTGGGAAGATGGCGTCGCTCCGTTGAAGCTGGCTCTCATCGACATGTGCAAGGGATCGGACGAGGTCGCACCCGGCACGACCTGCCCCATCTCATTCGATCCCGTTGAGGCTCGTGTCAATGACATCGACTTCAAGGGGTGGGCGCACGAGCAAGCGGTTCAGTTGCTGCAGGACAAGATTGGTTTGGGGCCGGATGGCTGGGTTAAGGAGAATGAGCTAGAAGGGGTGAAGATGCCCAACCGCGAAGCGCTGGAGCAGACGATGGCGGAGTTGGAGCATGAGGAGGACAGGGCTTATATTCAAAGGTGGTGGCTTTTCAAGGACGGTGCGAGGTATTGGACCGCGGAATCGTATCGTTAGAATATAGATGCTTGGTGCTTGGTGCAATATCATACACCGGTTCACCTTAGCAATGTCCTGTGTTAAAACCACTATCATACCTCCCGTGTGAGATAGTGTCGCGGCAGCCACTCAGGGGGAGACCATGGCTTGGCCAGAATCTCTGCAGCAACCATCTGCGCAACGGCTTCCGCACTGATATCAAATGATAAAATGTGAGCATGCCGCAATCGTATAGCGACTAGACAGTAGTCATACGTACCATGCATATGCACGTGGCATACCATGTCCACTGTACCCAGCAGAGACATAATGACCGCGATAATATGCTGGGTTGGAAGGATCAACAACGGGCCCCACCTGCAATACAAATCAGCCTTCGCCACCGGGAACAATTTTGCCAACACTTACGAAGGGGTCGCTAGTTGCGGTGTACGCCATGATACCGCTCCACTCCCACTCCGGCTCGCGGCCCTCTTCGTATTTACCTGGGAACAGTGCGGGGAGGAAGTTTCGCAGCGCCCTGCCTGCCTTCTCGTTCACCTCGGAGTCGTCGGCTACGTAGGTATCGAACGTTGGGCCCGTCACATCCCGTCCGCCACCTATGATCACCAACGGGTGCTCCTGGCCCTCCTCCAACGGCCGCGGAAACCAGTACTCAAACCCATCGTTCCCGGTCCACGCATGCCGTGATATCAATTCCAAGGGCGCCGCAGCACGCAACGCCATGACTTGGCCACGCACAGGAATCACACCGGACGGGCCACGCATGTGCGGGAGCAGGTGCGAGACATACGCGTTGGTGGCGTGGATGACACGCGTGCAAGAGATCTGGCCGCGAGGCGTGGTCAGAGTCCATGGAAGTAGGGCTGACTCAGAGGACGATGTGATCGCGGTGACGGGTGTGCGGGTGTGGAGGGTAAGGTTCAGGACAGGGGAGGCGGCCGCAAGCTTGTAGAGCTCGGTGACGAACTTGAGAGGCCAGAGGTTGTAACCAGTGTGGTGGTAGCCCGGGTGCGAGGACCCGTAGGTCTATAGCGTTTGACTATATATAACATGGCAGATAGAGAGGCGGATTGGACGCACCTCGTTCACTGAAAGCCAGGTCACATCATCGAGGGGAACACCCGCAACTTTCGCAGCTTCGAAGTCAGCCCTTGCCTGCTGATATTCCTTGGATGTGATCAACAACTCAATTCTACCACCATTGACGAGGTCCACAATTTGCTTGAGACCATGCTCCTCCATTATCTTGACTATGGAAGAGACGGTATGCCGCTCAAGGGCTAACCATCGCAGGGCTTCGTCTATTCCGAACTTCTGAGACGCAGCCTCAAAGGAGCTGAAAGCAAAAGGCGACAAATGTCCGCCGTTGCGCCCTGACACAAGTTATCAATATCGGCTCTCGACGCACAGAGCGAGGACTATACCTGTCGCACCGGCACCTACATTCGCGTACACTCATTCAATGCATTCCGTTGTGAAATTGAAACTGCAAGCTTACAAAAATCGCGAGCATCCAAGATGACCACGTTCAACTTCTCAGCGTCCTCTTGGCCCTCCAGCTCCTTGCCCAGGTGGTACGCCGCCGACACCCCCGTCAGCCCACTTCCTAAGATACACACGTCCGCGCCTTGCGTGAGCGGGCCGTTGCTCCCTTCCGCTGCGAGGGGGTTTGCGCCCGGTGCGTTGATCCAGAAGGATTTCGTCCAGTTGGCTACGGGCAGGGGAGCCGGGCCGTGGTCGACCTGCAACTCCAAGACGCGCTGCGAGTCGTCGAGCGCGTTTATAACCATAGGCAGAGCAGTGATGAGCAGTGAGCAGACCCAGGATATCTTTCTGGATCCCATCGTGCAAGATGAGTAGTTGGGAGGGCTAACGAGACCTGGGTTGGCTGTGTCGCAGTCGGGGCAGACTAAGACTCGAGGTCCCGATGGTGCACTACGGCCGTGCACTGTGCAGCATGCTACTGCCGCAATTTCTCATTTGTGGAGCATTGCGCGAGCACTCCTTTCGCCTGATAATAATATCGAGCCTCTCGGAATCAGGACTAGTCGAATTCTGACGGTCACTTCCTGGCCAGGCCGCCAATAATTCCGAAGATCCCGCAATGTAGCCACTGCGTGCAATCTCGTCAGCGGCCGGGTCACTGCGAGAGGAGATCAGCACAGGATATTGAAGTCTGGTCCTTCGATTTCGTGCAAGCCCGGCAGGTACCTGATGGAAATGACGCCAGTACCTACAACAACAATACACATCCACAGTGGCGAATAGTGAGGTAGCAAATTATCTCCGTACAGGCAATCAAATACATAAACAAACCCATTCGTAACAAGTGTTCAATTGGGTGCAGAGTGGGACAGGATGCGCCGTGCAACGCTACCGTCTCGCGCTAACACCATTTCCATTCTGTGTCGTCGACTTTCTGCTCGAGCGTGATCGGTGCCTATGGTGGCTGTGTGGCTGGCCTTGAGAGTGTGCGGGCGGGGGTGCGGCAGAGCCAGGTGAGAGTGGGTGTGTGGGAGGTGCAGGAGCAGGTTCCGCAGAGGGAAAGGGAACTTGATATGAATGGTATTGCGGAGGGACGGGGTCTCGTGCGAGGTAGTGCAGCAGGGAAGGTTGTGCGGGGGCGGCGATGTCGACGGCATCTAGCAATAGACTAGTGCAGGTGCCTATTGGTAGGCGATAGCAAACGATAGAGAGAATGTGACGCACTTGCATTCGTCTTGTAGCTTTCGTAGCTTATCCTCCGCGAGTGCGAGCTCCTTGCGATATGCTTCGCGTGTCTACGCCCATGTCCACGCACATCAGAGGTGTGAGATACGTCTAGCGTGCAAGACGTACCTCGCTAACTTGTGTGTGTTTCTCCTGCATCAAAAAGTATCTGCGCAGGGGTGAGTAGGCCGAACACAGGCTCGGAAACGAGACGACACACACTTCTCCTTGTATGTTTGCCGTCGCGTGGGCTATATCCAAGCTAAGCGTTCAAGGGCGCATCGGCTAGAAAACGTCTCCACCTTTGCGCTTGAAGTCCTCTCTAAGGGTCTATCGCCGAAGAGCCTGCCGTTTGGTGGCGTTGGCGCGTTTGAGGCAGGTCGGGAAGTACTAGCACTAGCAGGATCCATTGCGCGTGCAGTTATAGGAGACTGGTATGCTAAGATGCTACGCTTGTGGGAGCGAGACCGTGGAGGAAAGAGGATGTATGAGCGACGTATGAACTGTCCAGGACGACAACGCCTCCGAACTGTCCGGGGAGAGCGAACAACAGGTGGCTTCAATTTATCTATTATCTCACCCAATAAGCGTTATGCAATTGCTGTCTTAATCCCTGTTAGTATATCGGTTAGTACACGCGCCTGTCATGTGCGCGCGAAAGCGGGGTTCGACTCCCCGACAGAGAGCTTCAAATAGTAGGTATTTTTTTCCTACGCACAAATGCTGTAGCGCTCAAACTACGCGTTCCTGCCACCCATCCAAAACCTTTTATACAGCGCGCGAACATGAATGTCCTTTTTGAAGGAGCCGGTAAGATCGGAGCATGGTGTGGGTACAGCCTGTTCATACCCTTGTCCGACAGCTATATTCAGTCCTTTGATACCACAAGACGTCCTCCGCTTATGGGGTAAATGCATTTAGTCACTGGTCAACAGGTTCGAGAGGGAGGAAGCTAAATCTTGGTTTTCTCAAGGTGCGCATGGAGGTACAATGGCGTCCGGTGAACACAAAGCCTCCTACGTGTTTTGTCGCGATTGTCACGACCCTTGGTTCTACAAGTAAGTAATGCTCCATTTTTCGGACGTTTTCTGCGCATATATGCTATCCTGAACCTTTATCATTGTGTTGCAGACTACATAGACGTGCGGTGCCGGTCAATCACCTCGTTTTGTCTTGGTAGGGGGGCCCCTTCATGACATTTTTACAGGTCTTCCATGCGGATTGGATCAGTGAGTCGATCTCGTGGAACATCGCGCTCCCAGTCAAGAACTATATACTGAATGGTATGTGGGCTGGAGGTGAAGGTACCTGTGGACTGATCAACACGTATATAGGCGGCCGTGGCTGCGACGAAAATGCGCTTTCCTCTGAAGACTCTCAGGCCACCGTATGCGTCCGAGAAGACCACAACAGCCCGGTGCAGAACTCGCAGGAACCACCCAGCTCCCAGACCGTGGTCGATCCTACTGTGGGCACTACATGTACGGTGGCGATGATCACCAAACGGAAAGGCTCGCCGGAGGCCGACGTCGACAGGCGACCATCTGGGCGACCGTGGAAGACCGTCAGGATCTCTGACTCTAGCTGCGGCGCTGAAGCCGTGCCTGCATCGACACCTAATGCTAGGAAGTCGAAGCAGAAGGTGCGCCGGGCGCAGGGAACCCCATACTTGGACCTCTGCAAGATGAAGACGGTTTCGTCGAAGTCGAAGAGAGCGCTCGACTCGGAACTGGAATACGAAGCTCTGGATGCATCTGGTGCTAGGAAAATCGCGTGCGTAGGCTTTATATACACTTCAGCTTGCAGCTATTCATGGTGTCGGATGACGTTCAGCGACGCGTCTGCGGAATTGTGCTGCACCATGAGGAGCTCGGACGAGGACAGTCCCCGAATCTCTGTTTGTCTCGCCCTGGACATCTTGCGCGATATTCCTGTGGGAGATGCTGTGCGGTTCAAGCCTGGACAACTTCACGAGGGCAAGGAATTCCGTTGCCGCTTCGTCCCCCAGAACCTGTGACAATGATCAAGAAGGATTTTGCTATCATTCCCCCCCTGCTGTTGTAAAGGGTTATACCATGTCACGGATACCCTTGTAATTATATAGTACTGCTCTGAATCCAACTCGGAGTGAATGCTTTGAGACTCCCGTGGAAAGCCGGAGTTGATAATTCCCACGATCTGAGTTTGCTTCGGCGTTTGGCGGGCGATGAGCTCGTCGCGCAGGGCGTCTGCCAGCACCTTTACACTTCATCCCGGATGGCCTCCAGAATCGTCGCTAACTCGCTCAGGGCGACAGGTGCGCTTGCATCTATAGCAACGTAGCTATATACTCACCTCCATTTTGCTACAGCATCAGCGGTACGGCCCCAAGCGGTCGCCGCCCTCCCGCGGGCCATCGTTGCGTGCGTGTGCTACACAGACTCTGGATGATTTGACTGACCGGATGTCCCGCGCGCAGCCGTGGCATGGCGAGCTCGTCGAACCCGCCCCCAGCTGAAAAGGCATCCGAGCTTATCAACAAGCTGCCCTCATCCACCGGGCTCGTCACAAAGACAGGTTCCGTCGTGCTCGGCACGGGCCTGCTCGCGACCGCCATCTCGCAGGAGCTCTACGTCGTCAACGAGGAGACGGTCATCGCCGGGGGCTTCTTCGTCCTCCTTGCGTTCATCGCCAAGGTCAGTTTATCTGGCTACAGTCGTGTGTGGTGGGGAGGAGTGACGCGTGTGTCAGAGCATCCGGGAGCCGTACCGCGACTGGGCAGAGGGCCATATCAACCGCATCAAGGGTATCCTCAACTCGTCTCGCGCAGAGCACACGCAGGCTGTCAAGGACCGCATCGCATCTGTTGAGCAGATGAAGGATGTCGTGTCTGTTACCGAGAACCTGTTTGCTCTCTCCAAGGTACGCAGTTCGCGCATGGCCTCTACACACGTCTTATTCACATCGCACATTTATGAACACAGGAGACCGCGAAGCTCGAGGCGGAGGCGTTCGTTCAGCAGCAGAAGGTTGCGCTTGCAACCGAGGTGAAGGCCGTCCTCGACAGCTGGGTGCGCTTCGAGCAGCAGGAGAAGGAGAACGAGCAGGCCGAGCTCACGAAGACCGTCATTGCAAACGTGCTCAAGAGCTTGCAGGATGACAGGGTGCAGAAGGAGATCTTGGCGAACGCCGTTGCAGAGATCGACCGTGAGTGACATGTGTTATGTCTCTGATGGCCCCGCTCATGCAATCATATAGAGCTCGTCAGGAAGCAGGCTATCTAGAGTAGAATAGGCTGTGTATAGTTTGCAATTGACGAGTCATACACAATGCATCTATTGGCTTGCTTGACGTCTTTCGTCGACGTTACTGACATTAACACTATGAGTATCGAGGTAGCACGGATCCACGTTCTTTGTGTTCGGTATCATCACATACTAATGCTGTATTTTTGCATGCGGAAATATATGCTCTAACAATCGCCAGACGGCCACGTGCACGTGTATTGGTGTTGGCGACCGCCACATCTTCCCGCTCCTGCTCCTCCTCACGACGACCTGCTTCCCGTTCCTAGCGCATACAGACACGCCTTCTCCTCGTCGACTGCCTTTCTCGCGCCTTGCAAGTGTTGCCTCTTGCGTGTCTCCGCGGCGCCGGCGCGTGACTGTCTATACCTGCCGAACGTCGACGCGTTTCTGCCTGCCCCTGCCTTTCATCTCCTTGACCAAAACAGCGTCCAATTTACGACTCATACTCTCACCAATACCGCCGTCATGGACGCCGACCTCATCAAGCTCGTAAACAGATTGCAGGACACCTTCGCCAACCTCGGTACGTTCATACGTATCCTGGAAAGCAGTCATAGCTGAGAGGTGTCACGTAGGCGGAGAGCTGGACATGCCGCAACTTGCAGTTGTATGTCCTATTTTTTTCAATTGCAGCACAAATGGGGTCTGAGTGAGGTGATAGGTTGGCAGCCAGTCCGCAGGGAAGTCTAGTGTACTTGAAACGTAAGTTCTCTGTTGCCCCACTTTGCTCTCATGCACGAAACTGTGGCCGGTGTTTGGCGAGAGGCCAAAGACAGTCGCAAAGTCGGTGGGAATGGCGGGAGCCCATCGCATCCCACCTCGCACGTCGGGCGTACTATGCCAATATGAGATGTCTAGGCTTGAATAGTACTCCCGCTCAATTGCTTCACTCCTTGAACCCCCCCACCCCTGTAGTACATCGGAAGCGCAGGACTAATCTTGGAAAGCCCGTGATAAACACTGCGATCGTACTAGCATTGGTATAACATGTCCCGGTACTGACATACTACGAATACAGCATCGTTGGGCGCGACTTCCTCCCCCGAGGGCAAGGCATCGTTACACGACGACCTCTTGTACTACAGCTTATCCACACGCCAGTCACTGAACCCGCACCGACATACACAGAATGGGGCCAGTTCCTGCATGTCGACAAGCGCTTCACCGACTTCGACGACATTCGTCGCGAGATCGAGCAGGAGACATTCAGGGTGGCGGGGCAGAACAAAGGCATCAGCAAGTTGCCAATTCATCTCCGGATATACAGCCCGGACGTGCTGGATCTGACACTAGTGGACTTGCCTGGCCTCACCAAGGTTCGTTGGCGTCCTTTTCCTGCCCGTCAATATGGATTCTGACAGTCGTAGATTCCTGTTGGCGACCAACCGAGCGATATTGAACGACAAATCCGGAGCCTGGTATTGGACTACATCACGAGACCCAACTGCATCATCCTCTCCGTGTCTGCGGCGAATGTCGACCTCGCAAACTCGGAATCACTTAAGCTTGCGCGCTCTGTCGACCCTCAAGGGCGGCGAACAATCGGCGTGCTGACGAAGCTCGACCTCATGGACGCAGGGACGAACGCTCTCGACATCCTCACGGGACGTGTGTACCCGCTGAAGCTGGGTTTCATTGGGGTCGTTTGCCGCAGCCAGCAGGACATCAACTCGGGCAAGCAGCTATCAGATGCGATTGATACGGAGACAGAGTTCTTCCGGGCGCACGCTGCGTACAGAAATATCGCGCACAAGAGTGGCACGAAGTATTTGGCGAAGACTCTGAACCAGGTACGCTGGGACGCTAGAAGAACGGAGTGGTGGGGTGCTCATGACCGCGGCAACAGGTGCTATTGAACCATATTCGTGACAAGCTTCCCGATATGAAGGCCAGGCTGAATACGCTAATGGGCCAGGCGCAGCAGGAACTTAGCTCATTCGGAGATTCGGCGGTGTATGGGGACAAGAACCAGGTATGTGAGGTCCCCGTGATGTCTGTATGAGCAGCGAGTTTACTCCTTCTACAGCAGGGCGCGCTCGTATTACGACTCATGACCCAATTTGCGCGCGACTTCGTCGCCTCAATAGATGGAACGAGCGTCGACATCTCGACCAAGGAGCTCTCTGGCGGCGCACGGATATACTATATCTTCAACGACGTCTTCGGCACCGCTTTAAACTCGATAGATTCGACACATAACCTAGACAACCAGGACATTCGGACTGCCATTCGCAATTCAACAGGACCGAGGCCAAGTCTCTTCGTACCCGAAATTGCGTTCGACCTCCTTGTGAAGCCGCAGATCAAGTTGCTTGAGGCGCCCAGTCTGCGATGTGTGGAACTAGTGTACGAGGAGTTAGTCAAGATATGCCATAATTGCACTAGTGCAGTAGGTCTTG